CTAATATAAGCCGAGGCTCTAACTCATGGACTTAATCAACCAGAAATGCAGTAAAGATCGATTAAAGCACAACGATTATTAAGCGGATAAAAACCCAAACCAAATCCACGAGTCAGGAAGAGGGCCAGGTATACGAAGGACTATTCGGCTAGGGTGATAAGCTAGCAGAAAACGCCGGTTTCCTCTTGCTGAATCGATTCCACGATCAAGAAAGAAGAAGGAGAGAAGTTGGTGTTTGGAACAACCAATTCTAGGATTTGTATTTTTGAATAAAAATGTTGATTACCCACTAAAAGACTTAGTTCAACCCCTTATATAGGCTACAAAGGTTTTGGGCAAAATAACAAAGAAACCCGAGTCTTGGTCCATAAGTCACTTAATCCGTAAAGGAAACAAAAACAACCCGCAACAGCAGGTCAAAATCCACGCCCTGACCTCTCAACATCCACGGCCGTGGATTTGTGTCTTCAGGCCGTGGAATTCCCCTGGACAGAATCCACTGCCCCAAGTCCGTTTCCACGGTTGTGGATTTCAACCTCCAAACCGTGGATTTGGCTTCAGACAGCCCCAACTTGAATCGTCATCACTTCTCGTCCCACCAACAGCCCGGCCTCCGTATTGGTGAAGTTCTTAGCCAAATAAGTTTGAAGTCGACCCTTGAATGCCTTAGCTTGACTTCTAGTGACTGGACCACGCTCCTCTCGCACCAAAGTTGGACTTGTGATCGCCTTGGTGTTGATGCCCTCATCATATAATGTTTATACATATCAATACAATGAACTTAAATTGCTTATCGATTGAATACCAATATGTTTTTGCCTGTTTTTATCTATATTATACCTAGTTGAATATATTGTCTCATTTTAGTATTTTTAATATTATTTTAATAACAATATTGTATCGGTAAGTTGTCTATTCAACTATAGTCATATCACTAAATATCATTTCACTCACTTACTTGATCTCCTTTAAAGATTTTACAATTTATGATACACTAGGTAATGTCGCCCGCGTTCCATGCGGGATTGAGATGAAGTGTTCTACCGTTTTTTGTTATTATCAAAGTGCTCACATATGGGCCAATAATAAAATGATCCCAAACATTTAAAATGTAACAAAAATGTCGAATAAGTATCAAGATATAACAAAACAACTATATCATTTCTTTTCATCCAAAATGGCAAATTAGCTTGCTTACGATAATAGGGAATTTTACAGGTTAGTTAGGTGTATTGTATCATCGTATCATGATGTCGTGAATCGTGATATGATGATACGTTGGGTTTTGCAGACCAGTGTTTTGTACTCTATCCGCTCGCTTAAAAATATATAGAATTCCAAAAAATCACGGGTTAGGCTTTAAAACATATGTGACAGATACGCTTTTCTAAAAGTTTCGCATTGTAAAACCAGCCCCATGAGGTTAAGCCCAAAAAATTTAGAGGATTGTGTGAACCACTGTCATTGGCACTTGCTTAGTGTCTAATTATACACGTGCATATATGTTTTGTTGAAAAATTATCATTACTTTTCGTACATACTTCATATTTATGATGCATATATAATATTTTCATGAAATTGTATTTTTCTCACTAAACTTCTTCATTTCAGTAATTTATTGTTGTGATTTGTCACTTATATAATGTCGGTATATGAAGAGTTGTTAACATTATTCATGGATACCCGAAGCCCAATCAGGTAGGTATATGGTTTGATATTCTATCTGATGCTTATATGGGTATCGATATGTGTAAAACCGAACTATTTTGGGTTAGGAAATATATATGCATTATATAACTCCGACTTGTTATCATGTCTACCCATATTGCATTTTAATAATAATATTATTATACATAAAACCTAGATTTTTATAAAATAAAATATATAGAAAGAGTCAACAACAAAAAGAAACACATTACTCCAATAGCACATCCCAATGAAAACCCATTTTGATTTGACATTATTATTATATGATGGTAATAAATGTAAAACTAAAAAAAAGTGATCAAAACCAAAACTTTTAAGCAACCGTAACTTGGATTCAAATTTATATATAATAATAATTTTACAATGAACGCTGGCCAAATAACCCTAAGGGACAGTAGACTTTTCATATATATATGGTGCCGAATTTGGGAATGGGACTAGTACTAACTATTAAGGGATTCCATAACAAAGAACCGTCTTTATCACTTCAAAAAAATTGCATCTACCTTCACTCATCCATTCCATGGCGGGGCCAATCGACAGATCTTTTCTAGTATCGATGGGGAACGTACGTAGCAGCCACACGCACTCTATATATGCATACACAAACGGAATCTGCCTTATAAGTCGCGCCACAACTATGATAGCTAACTTTGAAAATTTAGATGAAATAATATGTCCCAATTGGAAGAGGTTAGAGTGCTAACTTCATAGTATTTAGCACCGTACTAACTATACTAATCCTCATTTTTTTTTTAAATTGAATGTAACGGTGAATAGTTACAAAGGGCTTGTTTGGTGTTTCATATTTTCACTATATTAAAAATAATATATAAATATAAATATATTTTTATCTCTCCTATATTTATTAGATATTTTCTACCGGAAAAATTACTAACAAATTGATTGTAGAATTTTTAATTAATAGCGACAGTTTTTTTTGGAGGCTGGTAGTAGTGATTCTGGAGGGTCATAGTGATTTTCATGTAGCTAATAGTGTTTTAAATTCTTTGAATTTGTAGCGAATGATTTTTTTAAATAAGAATCACTACCATACATTGTAAAACATACTAAGAACAGAGAAAATGACTACCACATATGGTCAAATCACTACTAAAAGATGAATAATCACTACTATACATGAGCAAAATGCTATAAACTACATTGACGGTAAGAGGCGCACTTGAGGTGAACGGAGGCGACGAAAAGGGTTGTGAGCGGTTGAAGAGACGATTGTGAATCTGGATCTCGAACAAAGAAGCGAGGCAAAGAGCCTAGATCTGGTGTCGGATCTGCTCAATTGTTATACCGATCCGCCATTCCCTCTGGCATACATTTCTGCCATTCACAGGAGTCTTGGCGGCGACCTCAATGTCGGTGGTTGATAGAAAGAGCCGACGAATCATGGGGGAGACTCCTCCATCGCCATCGTCGGCGCCTACCTCCTCTATCGACATCTCGTGCTACCCTTCTTCCCTGTCGCCGCCTGCCTCCGTCGCATTTGCATGTCTTTGTGAGCGCCCCTTCCTTCCCATCGCCGCACCGTACGCACAGATGTATAAGATGTGAGAGAGGAGAGACAGTTGGTGTTGAAAGAGTGGAAAATGAAGAGGCGGCCGTGGGTAAGAGGGAAGGTGAGAGGTGCTTTTTATATTAGGGTTTAATATGATATTACTAAAATATCCTTCACTTAATAAAAAGCCTTTATTCAGCCGAAAATAAATGGAAGCTGATTTATGGGATTAGGACGGTGCTAACGGGGTATAGGGTTAGCATCCCATCCCATCCCGTCCCAATTACTATGTTTTGGTTGACAGTTGGACAAGGGGCCTTCATTTATGCTATCAGCCAATTAGGATTAGCTATAAGGAAGTGGCGAAGTAAGTATCATATATGCTCTTTTTTCCAGCAACTTGAGTTATTAGAATCAGTTGGTTTATGACGTGGTATCAGAGTTTTCTGTAACTGAGAGTGAGAGGTCTTCTGTTAGAATTTCGGCTACCCCTATTTGTTCAACACATGGTATATATTCGGACATATGCAAACTTAAAGCTCATATGAATTGGTTTTCGCTTGAGTGGGCGTGTTAGTATGTGGTACAAGACCTATTATTGAATATCTCCCAACAACTCGAGTTATTGACACCAACTGATTATTGACATGGTATTAGAGCTAATTTGTCATTGAAATCACTTGTTCAAATCCTCACAACCTGAATCAGAGGAGAACCTATTCATATTTTAGAGTTGTCATTGAGAAACTAACAATAAATTTGAAACCAGTTAGTGTATCGAAATTTATATTGGCATTGGTTGTATTTAAATCCTCAATCATTTGAAAACCCTTACAATTTTAGACCGAATGTTTTAGGTAAGTAACAACCCTCTTATTGTTATAAAAATACAAGGCACATGTATTTTTTTTGTATTTCATTTCTACAACCAAAATTAATTTCTAAAATTTTTAAGGCTATGTCTGTATGCATGAGGCCTTCAAATGATTGCGGAGAATTAAGGATTTGTTCTAGTGATATCACAATTGGTGTTGAACATAAAAATCTCAAATTCGGATCTCTTAAATAGTATCTAATTATAAAAAAAATAAACATTTATATCATCCTTATATATATAAAAAAATCAATCACCTAATTAGGTTAATGGTGGTGACAGAAAAAGATAGTAATTATTTTTCATATCCTTACTTACTAAATTGGTGTTGACTTTACCAGTTGATTGCGAGAATTTAAATGATAATTTCAGTCATGAAAATCATCAAGAACGATGAATGTATTTTAGAAACTTATATGAATATAAATACGTTGTGGATCGTTTTGAAAATTTCAAGTTCATAAGTTTGCTTTCGTTGGAGTGGACGTGAGCAAGTGGAATGTTATATTATTGTGTTCTATATATCGTTCCCATAGATACCATATCTCAGCTGGTCACCTCGCCATCCACTAGTGAGCTAGCTGCTTATTGGTAACGATAGTTGTTTCATGCAGTACCGGCATGGGCCTGAGGCCTCTCTCTGTAGGCATACGACGACACTGTTAAGGTGATCAATTGAGATTTGAGAATCCATATCTCCGACCTTAGTCTTTCTTTAACAGTACTGCCATTGTATTATGTATTTATATCCATAGCTAAATAGCTTGCTTTAGGTTCCCAAGTTGACTAATTCTAGAGGATCACCCTCTGTTTGTCTTCTTTACATGCACTTGTTTCTCTTCATATTTCTTCGTATTATTGCCAACCCTAGACTGTATATACCTTAAAGCTTAAACCTTAAATAGCTAAACCTCTAAACTATGAAACCATAAAACCCTAAATGAAAAAAAGTACTTCCTAATTAGCTCTAAACTACTGTAAACCCTTACCTAACATCTAAATTATCCAAAAAACAGAAACTATAGATGTGTAAACCCTAATTGGATTTATATAATGATTTCCGTAAACCGTTAATTAGGAGTATAAGCTTAACTTAAGGGCTAAAATAATATCCATGTCATAGTTAATGATATATAATTTTGAAAATTATTAATAAATGACATATCTTCTCCAATGCGTGTATGAAAGAGGTGATATCTGCCGAAGAGATGGGCACGTGAATAATAACAACTTAATTTCAATTTTCCCAACTAGCTTCATTTCCTTTCTTTGTCGTTAGAGTATGAAATTGGGCGAGACAATTTGACTCAATTATTTCAAAATAAAACAATTCGATCAAATAATCTCGATTTGCAATACAATATGAGGATGCAACCACTGGGATGAAATAATTTGAATTGCTTTTTCTTGCATCAGCTTGAATTGATAGGATATTGACAATTATTCATCATTTCATAAATCTATCATCCAAACAACCCCTTCTCTTTTCCCATTTCCTTTTCTTTTAATTCCCATGTCCGGATAGTCACACACGAAAATACTTTAATTAACTGCATCGATCCAACGACTGAAATCACATGAAGAGACGATCGGTAGTGTTAGTTTGCATTGGATCGGAGCTTTGAGCACAATACCCTAATTAACTCAATCATAACCACCTTTAACATCGGATAAAGCATACATACAAATATAATTCGGCGTGTGGCGTCAGTTCATCTGAATATTAAGACCACATATATATATAACGCATTACTACAGAAGGACTTTAGAAGATAACATTAGTCTTTCCAGGGCCGTCCCATGATATTTGGAGACCTTGTTCGAAAATTCAAAATGTGGCCCTAATTTTTTTCCCCATAAATTTATCAAAATTAAAAATTAGTAAATAATTGTAAAAAAAATACTTAAGTTCAGAAAAAGATTACATCAGGAATAAACGATCTCGTTTCCAGTTTGACCAAGAAACCAAGACCGAATTCCCAGCCCTAGTAGGGAGGAAAGTAAATCTGGAAGGAAGAGAAAATGGATATAGCGTAAAAATTGAATGGAGAAATGAAAATAGTCTAAATTGATCGAGAAGTGGGTGCAGGGCTGTCTACTAGAGCGTGGAGGCCCTATTTCAAAATCTAGACGTGGTCCAAATCGACCTTTAACTATAATAAAACTAAAATGATTATAATAACATTATTCAAAATGTAATATCTTTCTATATTGTTTAAATTAAAATTATCTATTATTTTTCAGATTTTCGTATTCTCCATGAGATCCTTTTCAATTTTTATTATAGCTAAAATTATCTATTAAACACATCATCATACTCATAATCAATCAATCATACACTAAAAATACAACCTACAATATACGATCGGTAACTAACGAATCTAAATAGAGGCCCATAATATTCTGATGCCCTGTGCTGGAGGGCGGGCCAGCACACCCTCTTGGCCGGCCCTGAGTCTTTCAGCCTGTCTCCCAACACATGCAGCACTGAAAAGAAGAAGAAAAATCATCCACTTGCGCGCAAAAGCCTATAGGCTAGCTAGCCATGCACTTAAGATAGTGATGAGAGGTATATTATCCCTTTACATGAAGGGCACTTTCATCAAATCTCTTCCAATTCCCCCCACCGCCACCATCGATCTTATAGGGTCACTTTCAGGTCGAACGTCGACGTTTTGAAGCTCAAAGGTAATAGTTGATAATAGTGTAGGTCTGTTTGAAGAACACCCTATGGACGACAGACAGATATATATGTATGATTGCGAAATTGGGCAGCCCTTATTAGTTTCCTGGAGATAAGGTTCCATAGGGACAAGCACTACATGGTCTCTTTCAGAGGAATGTATTTCCTTGATGCAACGATTAAAAACGACATCTTTGATTGACAAATCAAATAGATGTATGAACAATTGACTTCGCCGCCTCAGCACCAAAATAAAAATCACTCAATAAACAAAGGTCAACGTGGTTTTTATTTCCACGATAGTGCTGGAGCTATTTGAAATTTAGGAGGTCGTAAATTTTAGTTAAAAATACATGTAAAATTTATACAAATATTGAGACTTTAGTCCTCTCTCGATTATCGGGCTCGAATCCATTAAAATTCAGTTTTTTAATTAATTGGATTTATGACTTTACCATTAAATAAGAAGTTTAGTATAGACAATTTTGGATAGACTGTGTTATACCGTGAATAGTTTACATTTATTTCATGACACAAATCAGATCATAGTGCATAAATTGGCTAATTTTTGTTCAAATGAATTTTTTTATTTACTCCCTTCTCGAATCAGGATTAAACCATAATATTGCATATACTTCCAACCAACGTAGTCAAAATCGCACTTTAAAGTTTAAAAACTTACGCTTTTACGCTTCTGGGTCACAAAAACACTTTTACGCATAATCACCATTTTTATAACTATTGTAGTTAAAAGTTAAAACTACTCTTTAAAGTTTAAAAACTTACGATTTTAAGCTTCTAGATCACCAAAATGCTTTACGTAAAAACGTGCTTTTGACTATATTGCTTCCAACAAAGCCATCACAACATTATTTACATTTTGTTGGGGGTGTTGCAAAGAGAGGAGCCCAAACAAGGACCTGGTGGAGCCCAATGAAGGAAATGAAGGTTACCCAGTGGGAGAAGCCCATGAATGGACCCGCTGGCCCCAACCCAAGTAGGATGAGGGGCGCATGGAGACAAAATAAGGAAGACCCCAAAGAAGTCCACGCCTATCAGTTGTCAGAAGACTGACAAGGCGGTTGGGGCGCCGCCTGACTTAAATGAAGGTACGAAGCATTAAATGTGACGCTGACGTGGAGTTGCTCGGCCTTGAGTTGGGTGAGTATAAATAGGAGCGGTAGGTAGCATTTACACAGGTTGGACTCTCTCACTAAAAGCTTGAACTAAACACTTCTCTCTCTAAAAGGGAAACTGACTTGACCGTCGGAGGGTTAACGGGCCTGGGCGCCCCCCCCCCCCCCCCCCTAGATTCATTTGTGTAGACCAGGTGCCGGGAGATCGTGGAGCGAGGAATGGGCGTGTGAGCAATTGGTGACAGAGCATTCCGGCACAAATAATTGGCGGGCAGGAAGGGGAATACGACCGAAAACTACGAGCATGGAGCCGCCTACGAGCGGAGAGGAGGAGCAAGTCACGGGGAACCCGTCTGAAGGTCAAGAGGGCAGACGCCCGAGGCCATAGAGGGAGAAGGAAGCGAGACTATGTTCCCGAACTCGGAGAGCGCCTCGATCACTAAAAAGGAGCTATTTAGTATAATTGAAGATCAAAATGAAGCAATTGAGATTCTCAAACGAGAAGTTAAGGCGCTGAAGAGGGGAGAAGGGGCAGTGCACAACCCAGCTTCGAGGAAAAGAGAAAGGACCGCGGAGATGGAAAACGAGTCTAGTCCGTCGAGGCGCCCAATATCCATGTGGCGCCCAAACGATCAAGGGAGTTCCGATTTCGAGGGATGCAACGTAGGGATGTTAAGGCGCTTGTCCCATCATTGCTCTGTAAGGAAACCTTTAGCGAGGAACGTGTTGACGGAATCGGTCGGGACCAACATACCACCACTCCCAAATTATGATGGAACGACGGATCCGGAAGACCACCTGAACGGTTACTTCACAAAAATACAGCTCTACAATAGTTCGGATGCAACCTTGTGTAAGGTGTTTCCATCGACTTTCGCGGGCGTTGTGCTCAATTGGTACCATCAGTGCTTTGAGCAATTCGCGGCGATGTTTTTGCAAAATTTGCCAGCAGAAAGGGCCGCTCCTTGACCATAGGCTCCCTCTTCAAGGTCAAACAGAAAGAAGAAGAGATATTGAGGGAATTCTACGAAGAGGTGGCTCTCAGTAGCCTTAGCGGTAAAGAACGCCCAACCGTCGGTGTTGGGGTGTTGTCTAAATGAGTGCACCACGAGTGAAGAACTTTGCAGGGCGCTTGCTACGAGGAATGTGGTATTCATGGAAGATCTAGATCACCGGGTGCAGAAAGTAATCATACTCGAAGAAACCCTGGCCTCCAGGAGGGCAGATAGACGCCGATCAAGGGTGGACGAAGGCGAAACTGTACGAAGATCGCCCCCACCCCTCCCGGGTCGGGATATGTACCCACAAGCTACGCCCAAGCAAAAAGGACAGAAATGGGTCGCCAGGCGCCCAGGGGAGCAAGTTCCTTCGCGGAGTTTAACGACACACTGAAAAATGTACTCCAGCACGTCAAGGAGAAAGGATACAACGTCTGGTGGTCGGGTTCGATGAGGGGGGCAACCCAATGAGCGAAATTTGGACCAATAATGTGACTTTCACCGAGAGGTAGGGCACCTCACGGCCAATTGCTACTAGTTAAAGACCAAGCTGCAGGGCTTGGTGGATAGGGGAATGCTCAATGACTTTGTCAGAAAGCCCGAAGAGTGAGAGCACCGTGCGTGTGTCGCCAGCACAGAGCTGAAAGGCACAAGGTGGCATTGCGCTTTGCAACTCTGAAAACAAACAACGTCGCAGAATACGAAGCGGTTGTCGCCAGCCTCCTCATGGAAAAAGAGTTGGGCGCCTAGAAGATACAAGTCAAGTCTGACTTGGCTCTTGTAGTCAACCAGCTCAATGGGGTCTTTGAAGTCAAAGAAGAGGCGCTCGAAGGTTACGTGCGAAGGATAAAAGAACTGGGAGCCTAGTTCAGCGAGGTCCTCTTTGCGCATAGTCCACAAGAGAAGAACGCCCATGCGGACGCCTTATAAAAACTCGCAACGGGTGTAGACTTCGCGGAGGACAGAAAGGTTATTGTCACAATGGAACCGCCTCGGGAGCACCTGATCGCCACCCTCAGCAGCGCAGGTGTTACCAAGGGGTGAATGGCACCCATTGAATCATTTTTAACCCAAGGCGTGGTTCCTGAAGACCCTAAGGAAGCTTGGCGCCTCCGACGAAAGGCTGCTCGTTGTTCCATCATCGATGGACAATCGTATAAACGATCCCACTCGGGGACAATTGTATAAAGCTTGATGTTAAAACTTTCAACGCTTCACAGCTCCCACTCCTTCGGGAAGGTGCCCCCACTCTAAAAAAAGGAGTCTCGATAAGCCTTCATAAAAAAGAACCCATTGAATCAACTTCTCCCCAGCTTTGGGCACTTGACCACAAAGTGATATGGGAGTTTTGATCGCTTATGTAGGGAGAGGCAGTTATCAAGCGCCACCACATTGGAGAAATATATGAACAACTTGAACGTTGGTCTCACATTGTGCACTGGGCACTTCAGCTTGAATAAGTCTACCACCACCATAACCGATGGAGATAGGCGCCCCAAGGAGCAGCCGCAAGTTGCCAAGTTCCCCTCCAAAATGGGGTTTATGGGAAATCGCAACCCGAACCGGAAGTATTCTTGGTAGATCCTAATCCACTTGGGGTCGCATAAAACCAACTCTGGCAATAGGTGGGGGGGGGGGGGGCACATACCACAAGTCGCGAGGTAGTTGTAGACTGGTAACCAGTTCATGCACCCGCGCCAAGGTCACTAATGATTGGTGGTCTGGTCCGGCCACGTTGAATGGCAGCTCAAAGGTCTCAATGGGCACGTGGTCAGGAGAAAATGTCTTCTTGCATGAGGTGATCTTATACGAGCTGTCCGCGGGCATGAAGCCCAGAGTGAAGGCGTTTGATGATCCAGCAGATTCAGGAGCCCTCTCTAAAGCAAAAATCAAACTAGGCGCACAACCGCGAGGTGAGGTAAGCGGTGCCCACGCCTAAAATAAATAAAAAAAGGAGGGGGAGATCAGAACAGGTGCTTACCAGAGTTGGATACGCCGCCTCAGTCTGAGGCAGCGCCTGCACCAGCAGCTCAGTCTTGGGAGGTAGACATGGTCGATGAAAGAAGAGAAGGGCGGCGGCAGCATGTGCTTCTTGAGGGGCTAGAGAGAGGTTAGAGAGAGAGTGATTTTTGGAAGAATGGTCTGGCATCTGAGGGAAGGGGAAGTATTTAAGAGAGGGGCGGGGGGCGTGCATCGAGTCTCGCACCCGTCAACCACGTGTCAACACCACGGGCAAACGTTTGCGTTCCCCGATCTCAATCTTGAATTTCAAAAATTTCAATTTAAAATTTCAAAAATCCAATTTTGAATTTCAAAAATCCAATCTTGAGTCCCAAACCTCCGCCCGTGTGGGGGCACAGGGGGGATATATAAGTGATCACCTCCACTAGGCACCTGACCACAAAATGAACGAGGAAGGTCGACGAAGGATCAAGGCGCCTCTTGAGAAAAAGTAAAGGGGCATTTGTGAGACTAGCAGGGGCACCCGCAGGGAAGATTGAAGAAACATGGAGTGATGGATGATTTAGTTATTTAACTAGTTCCTCTTTGTATTGATGGATGATTTTGGTTGTTGTGTAGTCGATTTGAGTCCTTTGAGCGCTCTTGACAATCGATTGCTAAGGCTCACCAAAGAGCAGGTTGAAGCTGTGGTACAGCCTGCAAATCTCAATGGGCAGGGAGGTGGAGGGACTATGTATCGTGGGGAGTGCCGCCCCACCGCCCCACTCTTGAGGGCGAGCTAGTATCACTAGTAATTAATGAAGTTTTCATGGTATTTAAAAGCTAAGTAATCCATTATATATAATACTTTTAAGTGTTGTTTGTATGTAGGTTGTTAAGGTGTTCAAGCTTCGAAAGCAAAGTGATGTTGAAGCGCTGCTAACGGAGGCCACAATTTTGTTAGATAGCCAGAACAACAACATAATTCGATTGCTCGGATTCTATGGCAAGAGACGATCGCCGGCTCTGGTTTTCGAGCTGCTCCCCCGTCATCGCTCGATAAATTGATTTACCCTATTGATGATGCAGGTACGTAAATAGGGTTTTTGAGTACTTTTCTTGATTAGCAGCCTAGGGGTTTTAGCTTGTTCTAGCGAGGGGGAAGCTAGAAGCATGGTGAATACTTGCTAACTATCTCATATCTTAACCTAGGGTGCTCGATGGTTTGCGAGTTGTTATTTATTCGATTTGATGTTTGGTTTATTGGCTGTGTTGAGGTTTTTATGGTGCATGTTGTTGCGGGTCTAAATTTGGGGTGTAATGGTATTGATATTGTGAACATTGTACTTAGAATTGGGGTGTGGGACTTGGAACCACGAGGAGGTCAATCTCGATGGCCTGGGCACCCACTTCTTTCGACAACGCCTCTTTTTCAGAATCTAGGGTAAGCTCTTCCACATAACCCTTTCGCTCCTCCTCCCACCGAGCTTCACACTCGGCTTGGCATTTGAGGCACTCGTCATCCAAGGAGCCTTGGAGCCACGCCACCTCCTTGGACGCCTCCATTTGGGGTCTTCGCATTCCTTCAGCAACTGCTAGCGACGCATGTTGGCCGTTGCGAGATCGTCCTTAAGAGCGGACAAGGAAGAAGAGGTCGCTAGCTTCTCGTCTTTGGCCGCCTCCAAACTTCGGGCGCCTCTTTCAGCGAAAGGAGCACCTGTATATATATATAAAGAGGGGGACACAAGGGAGAGAGGTCAAATGTTTGCAAACATAGCCTAAGTAAAAAAATATTATTAATAAAAATGGCCGCGAACCTTGGTGCCCACTTAGGCAAGCTCGGCAAAAAGGTGCTCTCCGTTGATCTCCGAAGGCACTTGCAGCATCTTCGCTGCAGAAATGGCCAACCACATGGCACAACCTTTATCCACGGCGCCCAGCAGGGCGCGAGGGAGGGCGATGCAACCGAGTTCGGTACGAAGGGGCTGAAGGATCGGCGAGCGCCCATCAGAACCCACGAGGCACCCCTTCTCGTCCAAACCCACCTGGGCGCTTGGTCGCTCACCAGGCCCGTTGGAAAAGTCTTCCCTTTCTCTTTATCACTGACTCGAGCTTTCTTGCCACCATTAGGCAAGGGTGAGTATGCCCTCTTCTCGCGACGTACCAAAAGGGGGATCCTCCTCATCTGATTGCTCTTCGTGAGCTGTAAGATCGCAAGGCGGCTCAACCACGTCCGGCTCGGAGGCAGAAGACGCCACACTGGCCGTCTTCGTGTGGGCGGATGGCTTCCCCTGATCGGCTTTAGTTTTGGTCTTCTTCCTAGCCTTTCGCTCTTGGGAACGGACGGAGGAGGCGCCTGAGGAAGAGTGGCGGCCGAAGTGGCAGGTGCCTCGACAACCATCATTGCAAGCCAACTCTTCATCAGTTTCCCGATGGTGGAAAAGTCCGACCCTGCACACAATCACAAGTGTTAGAACAAGTGTATAAAGAAGAATCACGTCAGTCATAAAAGGCGCCCAAACACCGTCGTTGTAATACTCTTCCAAAACAGGTGGGCGCTCAGAAGTGATGCGTAGATTAATGGGGTTAGTGCTAATGAGTTTGGTGCCCTCGATCTCGTCTGAAGAAAGATATACCTTGGTGGTAAAACTTTCATGAGGAAACGTCTTCTTCCATGAGGAGATCTTATACGAGTTGTCAGTGGGCATGAAGCCCAGAGTCGAGGCGCTTGACAGTCCAGCAGATTCAGGCGCCCTCTCTAAATCGAACCAGGTGCACAACCATGATGCGAGGTAAGCGGCACCCACGCTTAATATAAAACTAGAGGGGGGGGGGGAGATCAGAACGAGTGCTTTGACTCGCACAAAACTACACCACAATTAAACCCCAATTAGAGCCCAAGTTTTTAAACTCTAATCGGGTGCAGTATAGGGCAAGTATTTTATATATCGACCCGGGCTGGTCCGTCTACCCCTACTTCGGTTGTTGAAATCATTATCTAGCGATAAAACTTTGGTTTAAAGGTTTGCATATTGAAATGAAAGAAAGCAAAGGTACTTTATTTGAAAACTCTTTTGTGGGAAAGTCACCTGGGTTTCGCTTTCGCCTAACCGCTACCATGCTACGTGGGTTGGAACGATTGCCTTGAGCACGTTAATCGTGAGCCGTAGAGGAAAGCGTATGTGGTCGGAGACCACAGTCTCGATTTCTAAACCGAGGTGAGGATGAAAGGTCATGTGACTCGACCCTCTTGGTTTAGACAATCGGTAATCGGCTTACTCCCTCACTCAACTCTAAGGTCGGACGGTTAAACCATGATTAATCGACTTGTTAAATTCAATATTTAGGGTTGCCCTAACTCACCCTAGTTTAGGTGGCTTGGAAAGCGGAAGGAAAACCAACTCGATTGAGTTTCCCTTGAAAAGGGGGATTTTCCTCTCTAAACTAGGTTAAGTTGGCAAATTAGATTACTAGCACCTAAATACACAAACTTAGGGGTGCTAAGCACAATTATGCACAATCCCTAGGATGCTAAGCACAACATATGCACAACCCCTAAGTTGCTAAGCACAAACATGCAAAATCATGGTGAATAATGCCTCAAACATTAAATTGAACAATACCCAATATCAATCATCTAACCCACATACAAGAAAACTACATGGTAGAGTTAGGGTTTCACTACACCCAAATGAAAGGAGGACTACTCCATGGAAGAAGTGGGGAGAACAAAAGGGAAAAAGGCGGAACCATCTTTTGGGGATGCCTCCTCTCTTCTTCAACCTAGAACTGGGATTTCCTTGAGGAAATCTTCCCAAAATCTGCCTTTGAAGCCAAGCCCTAACCTCTTCTTCTCTTTTGGTTCTGTTTCTCTCACTAGAATGTTGAAGGTGTTTCTCTCACAAAAGTGGCTCCCCCCTCTCTCCTCCTTGCAGCTCCGCTTTTAAACCCGAGAAGAGCTGAGTTCACGGCCGTGAACCATCAAACGCGTCCGTGAACTCAAGCCTTGCGCCAAAACGCTCCGCATCGCTCATGTCAGTTCACGGGCAATTGCTTTTTTCACGATCTTAGTGATCGTGAACTCTCCTTGCGTCAGTAACCTTCCACTTGGCTCTGGACGCCTTGCTCTTCACGGTCTTGCACGATCGTGAACTCCTGCCTTTAGCCGTGAACTTGCGATTTTTCACCTCTTCTCCCGATTTTCGATCCTTTTCACCAATTCTTCGACTCTGAAGCTGGTTCCACCTGTTAAATCCTGAAAAGCACTCAAACACGAAGAACCTCGCGTAATACCAACCTCTAATGAGCGAATTTGGCACAAACATCTAAGCAAACCGGGGGCAAAAAATGTGCAATTAGGCCCGAATCAGTGCTTACCAGAGTTGGATGGACCGCCTCGGTCTGATGCACCGCCTGCACTAGCAGCTCGGTCTTGGGAGGTAGACATGGTCGATGAAAGAAGAGAAGGGCGGCGACAGTAGGTTCTTCGTGAGGGGCTAGAGAGAGGTTAGAGAGAGAGTGAGTTTTGGAAGAATGGTGTGGCATCTGAGGGAAGGGGAAGTGTTAAAAGGGGGGGGGGGGGGCGTGCATCGAAGAATAACTTCGATCGTCGTGAGAGAATGCTCGATAAGATCGTTGAGCGACTGCTGCATCATCTCCACCAATCGTCGATTTTGCTCCATTCTTGCGCCTCAATCAAGAACCACCGAAAACCAAAACACAGAATTTTTTTTCCACACGTACAACTTTGTGGCTGTGTAACAAGATTTTTTTTTTGTTTTTTTAATACTTTTTTTATTACGTGAACAGTACAGGACATTTAAAATAAAACAAAATAATTAAACTGAAACAGAAAACACAACTACTTGCTCTTTATTCTTCCGCAAAATATTGTTTTTTCTCTCTCTGTAATTACCCACGTCAAACTAATTAAGAAAACTACTTTGGTTTTTTTTTTCAGTCACGTGAACAAATAAAAACAATTAAAATTAATCTGCCTTTTTTTTTCTTCCGTAAACAGCTCACAACAACTTTTTTTTGGCTTTTTCTAAAAATAATCAAGAAATAAAACAAGACTAACACACCTGCTTCTTGCTACTGAGTTTGAACCGGTAATCTTCAAATTTGCCACTGAGTTTGAACCAGGCTCTGATACCACTTGATATGATCCAAATCCGAAGAGAATCCTCGAACTCGGATTATATAACCAAAGTACGCAGCCTTCCTTCTTTTTAAGGATTTTCGAAGCTTTTCTCCAACTTGAAATAAAAGATAGATGCGCAATCAATCGGACAATCCCAACCCGCATGGAAGATTGAAGAAACATGGAGTGATGCCACATCAATATTCAGGCGCCCGACCATGGGAACGACAACGAGGAGGGCCTTCAAACATGCTTGTCGCAAATCGAGGCGCCTATAATTAGAGAAGGAAGCGCCTATCGAGTTGGTAAGGACACCTGTTGATCGAAAACATATAGCCTTAACAACGGGAAGAAAGGAGTCACTATAAAAGGCTAGTCAAGGATGAAGGCGCCTCGGTTGGTGCTCCAACCACAAATGTGAAAGTTTTAGAGCACGACCGACGAAGGACGAGGCACCGTGCCAAGATGAGCAGTTAGACACTCAAGTATTGGGCCATGAGCGCCTAACTTAGGGGCAATTGTTGGGGGTGTTTCAAAGAGAGGAGCCCAAAAAAGGACCTGGTGAAGCCCAATGAAGGAAAGGAGGGTTACCCAGTGGGAGAAGCCCATAAATGGGCCCGCTGGGCCCAGCCCAAGTAGGATGAGGGGCGCATGGAGACAAAATACGGAAGACCCCAAAGAAGTCCAGGTTGTCAACGGTCCCCCATCCCTGGACGCTTGTCAGTTGTCAGAAGACTGACAAGGCGGTTGGGGCACCTAACATAAATGAAGGTACAAAGCATTAAATGTGACGCTGACGTGGAGTTGCTCGACCTTGAGTTGGGTGAGTATAAATAGGGGCAGTAGGTAGCATTTACACATGTTGGACTCTCTCACTAAAAGCTTGAACTAAACACTTCTCTCTCTAAAAAGGGAACTGACTTGATCGTCGGAGGGCTAACGGGTCCGGGCGTCCCCCTCTGTATTCATTTGTGTAGATCAGGCGCCGGGAGATCGAGGAGCTAGGACTGGGCGTGTAAGCAATTGGTGACAGAGCATTCCGGCACAAACACATTTAATAAGACATATTACCGTTATACACTTAACATATATGAATCTACGTCTGACCAGCACCTCCAACATCTGCAATATTGCCATTGATTACAAGAAGAAGAAAAAAAGGTCAACCTAGAATTCTCTTGAACAAGTGTACTAATAACCGTTGACCGCACAAAAACGAAAAAGGACTAGCTTATAGTTGGTTAGGCTTTGGAAATGATGGAAGTGCCAAATTCATGTCGTCCGATGGGATTGAAAATAGGCCGGTGATTAGTGGTAGGACCAGATAGATGCCTATATACTTAGACGTAATGATTCCATGTAAAGAGACTTTGGACGCAACAGCATTTGCCTTTGAGCGCAGCAGCTACGCGTCGTCGCTGCACACTTGCATCTATAATGACACCAAAGTTTTAAGCTATAGAAATAGAACTCCAAGTTGATCAATTCGCGAGAGCAATAGCAATCGATTTGACACTCACATTAATCTAAATAGCGATGTGATAGTTGAGGGGGCTAGCTAGCTGATACAGACCATAAACTCCCTCCCTTTGAGAGGTCATTTTACTCACATTAGAGAATTCTAGTTAGTTCTCCTCTTAACCCTAGTCTTTCTTAGGAGTCGTTTAGATGAAGATATCTTGAATTTCGATGAAATGTTGGTGTGAGTGGAATCTGATTCGATGAATCTAAATTGATATAGAATCATTGAAATAATGTTGTTTTGGGATGTAAAATTTTAGAGAGAAAAAAAAGAAATCATTGAAATAATAGTGTCAAATCTATAATTTGTATGACTCGCATTCTTCTTGTCTATTCGAAAGAAGAAGAAAAAATTCCCCCTTTTATAACCAAGAAATGAATCGAATTAGGTCGAATCGATTTCTCCATAAAACAACACAAACGCATATCACAAAGTGAGACATGATACATTAAGGTTCACTCACGAGAGCCAGGTTCTAGGAGGGACCATATCCCACACACGCTTCTCCGCGTTCCAACGATTGAATCCGGTGTCGGTAACTTGTATAACACAATCAGACTTGCACCTCTCGAAATCCTTGCTCGAGTCGTAGAAGTAGTACAGCACGTTGTGCCGGCCGTGGCTAGGGTTGTACGCTCCGACGCACAACGCCGGAAGTTCGCCTTTCCCCGGAGCCTTGTTAGCGTAAGGCAACGCCACTGTGATCTGCTTCCCCGGCCGAATTGCGTCTTCTTCGGCGATGACCAGACCGTTGTAGCACCTAACGTAAGCGAGGTTTTGTTTCTGTTCGTTTTTAATGACCAAGGTGGTGGCTGAACCTAATCTGGGTATTGTTGCTGTTGTTAGTAGGAGTATGAAAATGGGAATAATTGGTTGGGGAGACATGATCGATCGATCGATCGTCACGAGAGCTGGTGTCGTTGGACGTTGTTCTCGCGTGTTGGATATATGTTGTATTGTTGTTTATGATCTAGTCAGTTTGAAGCTAATTAAAGGAGGCGAGCAACACACGTCGTTGAAACCGCTTGATATATTGATGCTTGCTTTTATTTTACTATTCGGGGTAAGAATTAATGTTTCTTTGGATGTTGGAACTGAAATAATGTATGCATTGTTTTTTTTTTGGTGAAAATGCGTTGTTTTTTTAACATTAACAGTGTGAGCTTCTCTCTAACTTTTCAAACGCTCCATCTTCTCTCTAACTTTCCTCATTCATTTGCTAGTGGGGGACGCCGGCTCACCTCAGGGTGACCGGCGGCAACCATTATTCTTTATTTTAGTGCTTTTTTTTTATCTCCAGACTCCAATGCTAATTTCTGATTCTCCATTTGCTTTTCGCCAATCCCTTGTGGATTCTTTGCATTCTCTGGTCTGTTTTTTCATATCTGGAGACTTTTTGTCTTGGTGTACAAAGGAGTTGTTGTCTTGTATGGCTTAAACTGTTCTTCATTTATCCATCCCTCCTGTCTACCTCCTTATTTCTTGCAGTAGATCGTGAGATCCGGAGATGTTGTAGTCGTTCTTGTTTCGGCTCGGACTCGGTGTGGATTCTTGAAGACGGAGAAGCCTTGCTCGTGATTGTTGTTGATTGTCGGTTGTTTCTCTGCTTCTGATCTTCGTCACTAGGTGAAGTTCTGCAGGGGCATCTCTGTTGATGGATGGTGGGCTTCTTTCATCCTCCTTTGGAATGATCAGCTTGGGACACGTTCCTCTCGGCTTCGCTCTTATAATCTCTTTGTTGGAAGGCGGCTATTCCTGGTCTAGGTCTCTGAGTGGAGTTGCGGGTGACGGTGGTATTCCAGGCTTTTCCCGGCGGCAGCGGCGGCATGGCAAGGTTGCAATGGCAGCTAGGGTTTTGATTTGTCTACTTCGGGCTCTCTCTGTTATGTGTGGCACTTGGGCTTTTCGAGTGGGCTTTTTCAATTCCTTATCTGTATTGTTGTTCTCTTAATTTGGTCTTACCCATACTTTGTACTCCTTCCCATTTTTAATGAAACTGATTTCGTCAAAAACAGTGCGAGCTTTGTTTACACGTGAGACAGAAATTAGTTAAAGCATTTAATTCAACTGAACTGGGTTTTATTTTAAACTAGTTATCTCCAATTATTTTGAGCGGTTTTTATTTTTGTGCTTGATTTTATTTCTAAACGTTATATGTTTATTTTTTTGGTAATATATAAAATTTTTAGTTAACAACATTTTGGACTTTGTTACGGTGACATGCACTTTTCGGTCGACCTCATATAGGATTAGGTCGACCTCATACACGATTAGGTCGACCTAATCTATTGTTTCAGTGTAAAACAGTTTCATGGTGTCTACTTTGGAGATTCATATCTTACAATTGGCTAGATGGAAATTGGAGGTTAAAGGCTTGTTTTGAAACTGAAGTGTCCCTCTACACATTAAAGTACTTGGGAGCTCAATAGAAAGTCCAGAAGACCATTTTTGAACCTGACCAAAAGACTATGCCAAAACTGGGAAACTACCTGAAAATGGCCAAGTCTGGCAACGTGTTTGTCAAGCCTACTTTGGAGCTCAATTTGAGAAGCATGGATGCGAGTCAAGTCCAGGGGCATCTACCACGTTAAATTACGTATTTTTTTATACGAAGGCAAGGCATTGGATGAAAGATTGAATATTTTTAAAGCTTTAAACAAAAGGCTCGAAGTTGCTAGGAAGGATGTTTTTCTGCCAGCTTGCTTTTGCTCGAAGTCTGCCAGAAAAACAGCCTTCGTAGCAACTTCGACCCTTTTGTTTGAAGCCTTACAGATATCCAATCTTTCATCCAATGCCTTGAATTTGTATAAAACATACCTAATTTAACGTGGTAGAGGCTCCTAGACTCGACTCGCATTCATGCTTCTCGAATTGAGCTCCAAAATAGGCTTCACAAACACGTTTCCAGACTTAGCCATTTCCAGCCAGTTTCCTAGTTTTGGCATAGCATTTTGATGAGGTTCAAAAATAGTCTTCTGGACTTCCTATCGAGCTCTCAATCACTTCAATATGTAGAGGGGCACTCCAACTTCAAAACAAGTCATTAGTCTTCAATTTCCATCTAGCCAATTGTATGATATGAATATCCAAAGTAGGCACCATGAACTGTTTTTACACTGAAACAACAGATTAGGTCGGCCTGATCCTATATGAGGTCGACCGAATCCTAAATGAGGTCGACCATATTCTATATGAGGTCGACCTGATCCTATATGAGGTCGACCGAATCCTAAATGAGGTCGACCATATCCTATATGAGGTCGACCGAATTCTAAATGAGGTTGACCTAATCCTAACTGAGGTCAACCGGAAAGTGCAAGTTACCGTGACATGCATGTCACCGTAGGCACACCCTAACATTTTATCTAAATATATATGGTAATTTAAATACGAAATCTTAGTTGGGTTAGATAAGTCACGACTCACGAGCCCACATTTTGTGCATACGAGAAGCCAGGGGTGTTTGCCCCTGTCTCGGGACAGGGATAACTTTTGGGAAGGGAAAAAAATAACCCCACATATATTTGTATGGATTGACTTAAACACTTACAAGTAACATAAGCATGTTTTAATATTAAATTATTGGTTATTACTTGTTCATTAATTTATAAAAAATAATTAAATTATTGGTTTCATTCATGACACTATTATTCGACAACAGCTCGTTATGTATTATCACGATATTATGGCTGATGAGAGATTTGTTGGGTTGAAAAGAATTGATGAATTATCTCGAGTAATGGTGGAGACAAAAGTGCTTATATTAGATGGAGCAATATTAAGAATAAGCTTCGAAGTCGAATTGACAATGAGTTTGTTAATAATTGTTTAATGTGATACATTGTAAGCGACTCACTTAAGAGTGTAAACAATGAATATATTTTACATTTCTTTCATAATATGAAAACTCGTCCTGGTTATTTATGCAAACAATAATTTTCTTAGTCAATTGTTTGTTTCTCTATGAATTATTTAGGTGTTATTAATTTTAATAATATTGATTAAATATTATATATTTTGAATAAATGATAGAGGTAGTTTGAAATCCTTGCCTCGGCTACTATTTTGTGTAACTGTCTATTTTTGTAGCTATAGCTAACTTTAACGATGGGGTGATGCATATAGTATGCCATGGATTGTGGAGGGCCCATTTCGCATACGGAGAGAAAGGCAACAAGCCCAGCCTGATTGTCACAGTACGACACCTTCACAAACGGGTTTGGTTAGGACCAGTTTAGTTAATTTTGTGGTTGCATAGAGTCGTATATATAACAATACAACCAATGTAGTCAAAAGCGAGTTTTTACGTAGAAATGTTTTGGTGTTTTAGAAGCGTAAAATTGTAAGTTTTTAAATTTTAAAGCAGAGTTTTTAACAACATAAGTTATAAAAGCTGAAATTTTGTATAGAAGCGTTTTAGCAACCTAAAAACCGTAAAATCGTAAGTTTTTAAGTTTTAAAGCGTGAGTTTAATTACATTGTATACAACTAGCTTGGACCCTGCCCTTTGGACAGGTAACCCTTTTCTTTATTGTGTATATTTATAATTGGGCTATATTAAAATAACAAATTTTCTAAATCAAGTGAATAGATTTCAACAAAAAGTCAAATAGAATTCTCAAATTTTTTTACTCCCTTCCAACAAATCAGATATCAAAATTTAACGCCCATAAACACCAAAAAGGGATGTCATGTGGGCATGTCATGTTTCTTTGAAGCGTAAAGTAGGGTCAATCGCGAAGAATTGCATATGAGACCCGATTCTTCATTCTAGAGTTAGGGTTATTTAATGACCGCCAATGACAGAGTGAAGCTCTGTCTAATATATCATATAAGAAATCTCGAGGGAGTTTAGATTTAGTCTCTATATGTTGATAACACTAAGGTAAAGTTGTCAGATGATGGCAAAATGATGGTCATGAGAGAAAATCTAGAGAGAATGGAAGGATTTTTTGGTTTTTTGGATACACTTTTGTATAAGTTTGGCGTGAAGATAACCAAATACTCAAAATTTTAATTATTTTTATAGATATGTTTTGCGTATCTATTAAAAAAATATTATGAGATATACTAAAATATTGTTATTGGGTGGGTAAATAATTATTATTAAGGAAAAATAATTATCACAAATAATAGTAAACAATTATCCTATAATCTATGTTGCCTCTCTCATGACTCCCCATAACCAAAGGAAACGGAAAAAAGAAGCCTATGTTAAAGGATTCTGTTGTTTTTTTTTTTTTTTGAAATATGTTAGAAGGATTCTCATTTTTCAGGGGAGGTCATTAAGGAACGAAAATAGAAAGTTTTTTAATAAAAAATATCCGGAAACCGTTGAGGAATATTTAAATAATAAAAAATATGGTGATAACCGAAACACCTGGAGAAGCCATTTAGGCTTATGTGGAGGGGGTTGGTTTTCCAAATCCCTTTAATATTTTTAAAGAAAGATGACACAATCACAGAATGAAAACCATATACATGTTATTTTGAGAAATCATAAAAGTCAACAATCGAAAATATAAACATGTTTAGTTACTTCTTTGGGCCTGTTAAGTTAAAATGTTGATACGAAGATAAAAGTAGAAACTAATGAAAAAATAGTGTGACATATGAAAAAAATATAAGATCAAGTATCCCCGCATCCATTGGCGTAGCCAGCAAAATGTAATAGTGGGGTCCAAAAAATTTATAAAAAAACCACAATAAATTATTCATCAAATGATCTGATTGTCAAACAAAAGCATTTGTCCAATAATAAAAGCATCCGTCCAATTGTATCTAAAAGAACATGTTCACCAAAAGAAACAAAGAGAAGAAAGGTCTAGCCAAGTCTACAATGAACCACGACGGGTTTTCATATTCTGAAAGTACTCTAAAATAGATTCCTTATCTAAACCATCCAGTATGTCTCTCTCAATGTACCCAACTAAGCAGTCATTCATCCAAGCATCGCCTATCCGATTCCTCAGCTTGTTCTTGATGTAGCTCATTGCAGAAAAAGCTCTCTCCACACTTGAAGTTGCAACAGGTAAGATTAGAGCTAGCTTTACAAGCATATACACCAAAGGATATGATCGATGCTTATTTGTCTTCACCATCTTCTTAGAAAGGTCTGCAATTCCTTTCAATTCTCTAAAATCTTCATTTGACATCATATCATAAATATATGTATCGAGCTGATCATCTAGGCATGAGATATCCACATCTGAGAAGTCTCTAGGATAAAACGTGGCAAGCTTCAACAACATCTGCTTCTTAAAAGCACTAAATGAATTATCAGGAGTCAAGCAAGCCACACAACATAAGAGTTCAGTGTTCACCTCATCAAAACGACTATTAAGCTCTTGCAGCTGCATATCCACCACTGTGTAAAATAACTCAACCTGAAAATTATGCAAATTTGTGATTCGTTGAGCATTCCTCCTTGATCTTCCTAGAGGAACATAAGTATCATTCATATCAGAAATAGGCAGACATTCTTTGTTGTAGAAAGACAACACTTCATTCAGAAGTGGATCCCATCCTTTATCCCTCATGTCTTGCAATCTACTCTTTGCAGTACGAACAAGTGTCATTGCATTGACAATATCTTGATCTTTCCTTTGCAATGCCAAAGACAACTCATTTGTGATTGCTAGAACTTTAGTCATCATTCTCAAGATGAAAGCAAATTCAAAGGTCTGAATTAAAGTTAACATAGCAACGGCTTCACCTTTTGCTTCAGAAGTTCCCTCATTCCGAATGACCTCCAAACCATCAATCACAGCTGTGAACATCAAAGTCAAATTAACAAGAGTACCATAATGTGATCCCCAACGAGTATCACCTGGTCTTTTCAGCCCGATCTCTTGATTTAAACCCCGACCACTCTCTGCTTCACCACGAGCCAAAGAATCAGCAACTTTGACAGCATGGCTCTCCCGAATAGTATCCTTTCTTTTACAAGACCCACCAACCAAATTGAGCAAGTTACCAACAGTAGTAAAGAAACAACTAACATCCCCATGATTTTTGGCAACAGCAACAAGTGTCAACTGAAGCTGATGGGCAAAACAATGAACATAGTATGCAGATGAATTTTCTTCCAAAATCAATGTTTTGAGTCCATTAATTTCCCCCTTCATATTGCTAGCTCCATCATAACCCTGCCCCCTAATTCTTGTCAAGCTCAATCCATGTCTTATAAGCATTGACTCAATTTCCTTCTTCAGTGTGACTGCTCTAGTGTCTGAAACATGAGACACACCAAGAAATCTCTCTACAACACATCCTTGCCCATCTACATAGCGCAAAACAATGGCCATTTGTTCTTTAATAGACACATCACGAGACTCATCCACCAGAATAGCAAAAAAATCATCCCCAATATCCTTCAAGATTTTCTTGGTTGTTTGAGATGCTATTGCATGAACAATATCTTTATGTATGTCTGGAGAGGTCATTTGGAGATTTTTAGGAGCATTTCCCAACACAACTCTCTGTACAGCTTCTCTACCTCGAGCATGAAAATCTAGAAGTTCAAGAAAGTTACCTCTGTTTCTTGAAGAATCTGATTCATCATGCCCACGAAGTGCCAATCCATTGCGTATAAGAAATATGATGCAGTCGACTGTAGCCTCCAAACAAATCCTGTAATCTTTCTTGGCTTGATTCGACTGTTTGTAGAGGGCAACTTGGATACTTTGTGACTGTTTCATCAGAGCCTCACAATTTCTTGAAGCTATATTGTGTGGACTATTGGGACCACCAACATGAGTATCTAACCTCCCAATATTCTTATTCCAACTATTGAAACCTTCCCAAACAAAAGCATCACTTCCACCCTTGTTGCTGATCTCACTTCTAAATAAGTAGCAAGGCAAACAATATACAGCATCTTTGGCAACACTGTACTCTATCCACGAGTACTTATCATACCAAGAAGGATTAAATCTCCGTTTCCTTCCACCAATATCTCTAAAGGGAAATTGATGCAATCGAGGTTGACATGGTCCTTTTTGAAGATAAGCTCTTCTAATCTCATCATGAACATTAGGATGGAAGGAGGTTATCGGTAGTCTTAACCCTGGATCAGCTTGCAAGGAATTGAGATCAACTTTCTGATTTGTAGCTGCAGAGGGAGACTCGTGTGGTTCTGGATGGATATTGGAAGCTCCGTTATTTTCAGGAACTACAGGATTAGGAACTGGGGTAGTCTTTGCTTTCTTTGCAAAGTAACGCTCCATAGCTGTTTGAAATCTACAAAATTATTGAGCATGATATCAATCAATATAAAATTTACTATTCAATTGGTACACTATTGTTTATAGGCATAACAACAGATTCTTCTTGAAACTTGAACAATCTGTGGACATGAATGAAAAGAAACAATAAAACTTATATAGGCATAAAATATTCAACGTAAATACAATACTATTATTAGCTTAGTTGTTTGAATTGCGAGTTACCTTTGGTCTTTGGCTCTTAGATTTCTCGGCTGAAGTTCAAAATAGAAGACTTGATGTCCTCTAGTACTGCTGCTGCTTGCGTCTCAAACTTAGAAGAGAGGAGGACAAGATTTGGAGGGGACTCGGCAGCGGAAACGACAATGAATGGGGAGGCAAAAGGTAGGCGCTGCACAGAGAGTTCTCTACGAACTCATGTATGGGAAGGGATTCTTTTGGGGCGGCAGTAGGCAGAGAAAAGTGTATTTGATTAGGGATTAGTAAATTAGTTTAATTTGTTGCGATGGTCAAGCCGTTTAAGTTAAGTAATATAAGAGTAATGAACACATTGTAATCAATTGAGTAAGTTGTCCTAGTGGTAAGGCTTGTGTTATTGGTAAGATGGGGTCCATGGTTTGATTCCCATGCTTGCCCCTCTAATACCTATATTTTTTGAATGTCAGCCTAAAATCCAAGTGGGGTCCACTGACCCCACACCCTTCCGTGTGCCTCCGCCAATGCCCGCATCTCCTCTTTTTGGCAAACCAGAAGCAGCAGAGAGGGTTTTGCGAACTCCGTCTGTGCCAACATTTCTAAGGAATACCAATCTTTGTGGAAGTCACTCACATCGACCCTGACAACGGAGCCTGGTTTCTTTTTGGAAAGACTGTTGGATCCCAACATGATCATCACAGACACATTTCTTCCAGATGCCTGGGTATCCGACGTTGCTGTCAAATCTATGTACAGGGCCATTAGCGATAACCAATTCCAAGGAACGCCTGACTTCGCGGCTGACTCTGTATGGAGAAAGATCATCCCATCCAATATATGTGCATTCATGTGGACAATTGCTTACAAAAAATCCTCACCTTAGACAACCTGAAGAAGAGAGGGTGGCAATTTGCGAATAGATGCAGCCTATGTTACAGTGACGAGGAGACAGTCGACCACATCTTTGTTCACTATAACTTCATCAAGGACGCTTGGATTGAGATCAACAAGTACTGCAGCAACTTCACTCCTCCTGATTCTGACGTCCTTACAACCATTCGGAGATGGCATCACGATCAGCCGGACAGTATTGCAGATTGGTTCAATTACTGTTTTCTTCATGCCGTCTGCTGGAACATTTGGATCGAGAGAAACAAAAGAACCTTCAATGGCAGTAAGATGTCGCACATCCTTATCGCTCACAAAACACTAATCGCTATTCGGGATTGGCTTGTTGCTCATGGAAAAATCGACAGGTCTAAAGGATCGTCTTGACTTCGGGCCTGTTCTTTCTTTGCTTCGTTACCTCATGAACTTGCTGGACACATTTTGCCATGGTTTTTGTTTCCCTTTTCCCATCCATAGTCGTGCTGGATTGCCTCGGGCGTGTGCGCTATCCCCTGGATCTATTGTTGTTGTTCGTCTGTTTTTCCCATGTTTTCCCTCTCGTTAGTCTTCTTTTTGTGCAGGGGCGGCCTCTTCCGTCTAGCGCTCGCAGATCTCTCTGTTTTGTTTCTTTTTCTTTTTGAGATCATGCCTCGCGATCTCCTTTATATGGACCTTTGTTTTTTTCGTTTCGTTTAATCTAATCATCACCATTATTAAAAAAAAAAGAGTTCGGGGACGAGTTGTGCGAAAATAGAAAGGAAGAATATGCAAAAAGTGGGTTAAGGTGATATTTAGGGGTCGTTTGGAGGTTGTGATTTCAAGCGATGTATTTAGCCAATGCATGGGTCGTTTGGAAGTTGTGATTATATAAACTGATGAATTTTATCAATGTATGCATTCTAAATTGATGTTTTGCTTGAATGGCCGTATTTGAAAAATCCTTTGTTTGGAGGTTTAGATTGTGCTTTTCACATATCTAAAAAAGTAATATACTCTGTCGGTTTAAAGACATATTTGTCCTTCATTAACTATTTTATCCAAAGAGAGAGGAGCAATGAGCGAGGTAATGTTGGAATAAACAAAAAGTAGAATGGACAAAAGTGAAATAAAAGACACACAGATAATCATTCGTTTACAATCTCGGCTTTTGCAAGATATTGGCAATCCTTCATTTTGAGGGATTAGAGGTGGGCCCTTAAAAAGTAAATACATGTATTGCAATTCAATTTAAACCAAAAAAACGACTAAATCTCTTCATTGCATGTATTGGCTAAATATACCACTTCAAATCACAAACTCCAAACGACCCTGTAATGTCCAGATTAAGTCATTTTTCTGGTTAATTAAATTTGTGACAGATTTCCTTTTTCTGGGCCCACCTACAATCACTCAAAATGAGTGGTTATCAATATGTACCAAAAGGTGAGATTGTGACCAATGGATTGTCTACCCTCCACTTTTTTATTTATAACAAAGCACAATCTAAACCTCCAAACAATGTATTTATCAAATTCATACATTTCATCAATACATCAAATTACAATACACAAATTAATTAAATACTTCAATTTGAAAAATCTTAACCTCCAAACAACCCTGTTGGGCATGTGACTCGGATCTCGCTGTGCCAAGGAAGCACTCCGGTCCCGCCACCATGAGAGTCGGGCGCGTTAGCACCAGCGAAGCGCGACAGCGCCACCAACATGAGGATCGGGCGCGCTAGCACCGGCGAAGCGCGACAGCGCCAGCAACATGAGGATAGGGCGCGCTAGACCTGGCGAAGCGCGACAGCGCCACCAACAAGAGAGTCTGGCGCCTTGTCACCGATGAGTCCAGAGCCGCACCACAAACACCGAGCGACGACGTTTAGACCCAGCGTTGACCAGCCCAGCAAGCCATGGAAACAGCGCCGTTTCTCCTCGGAGAGTAGTCACCATCGTAGTCCTAGGTAGTCACCATCATAGTCCTAAGGATGAGAGGGTGAATGTGCTTGTCCTAGGTAGGGGTAGGGGTGTGGTTTACACCTCTAACATGTCAGTGGTCATGTCACCATGTGTCTCACCCACCACCATGTAGCCTATAAATATGGCATTTACTCTGGTGGGTGGGGCGATCGGATTTTTGCAGACTCTATCTCTAAGCAAAGAACGAACTTCTCTCACTAAAAGACACTCTCTCAACTCTATTTTTCCTTCATTTAGTTCCCAAGCTCTCGGCTAATCCTTGTTGTTCATTCTTCTCGACCCATTCTCGTGAATCTCACTCCTACACTCAGTTAGGTTCAAACAATTGGCGCCCACCGTGGGGCCGAGAAGAAAAGCAGCAGAAATTCAACCAATGGCAGAACACAACCCCAACATACCCGACGAGGTAACCCCCATCAAGGCGATGACAACCCCTAGAGCGTTCGCGGAACTCGCGGAAGGCAGTAACCTTGACGCGGTACTCGTTGAGGAAGAAGAGCCTGAACTGACGGCCAAGGAAATGAGGTAGCTAATGGCGAAGCAAAACGGTGTCATTGCCGACATGCAGAAACAGATGAGCCAAGTCTTAGAGCTCATGATGAGCAAGGAGGCCGCGACCACGGCGGATGTGGCGCCTGTCGCGCCACCACAAACACAAGGAGTGGCGTCGGGCACAGCCTCGCTACCACAACGGGCGCCGGCTGGGTTGCCCGCAACTGAAGCGCAACAAGTCGAACCACCGGGAAGGGCGGACCTCAGCTTCTTGGAGCAGCACCTATCCCCACAATACCGACCCAACCCACCCAGAAAAACCCTGCACCAACCGTTGAGCGTGGAGATTATGGCGGAGCACCTAAGCGGAATGCCTCTCACCCTCCCAACTTACAATGGGACGACTGACCCAGAGGATCACGTCAGCACTTTCTGCTTGCGGATGCAACTCCAAACCAACTCAAACGCAGCGCTGTGCAGAACCTTCCCATCAACATTCTCCGGAATATGGCTCGATTGGTATAACTGACTCCCAAACGGAATCATCCGTTCGTTCGAAGAGTTCATACTCTTGTTCACAACAAAGTTCGCGTCACAAAAATAAGGCCTCTCCACCTCAAGGCGCTAATAGATATCAGGCAAAAAGACGGAGAAAACTTGCGAGCATTTTACGGCAGGTGGTCCAGGGTGGCGATGGCCGTGAGAGATCTCACCCCAGAAACCGCCGCCCATCATCTCATGGACACTACCACCAACATGGAGCTCAAACGAGCACTAGCAAAGAGACCAGTCACGCTGTCAACGGAGCTAGAGGTCAAAATTGAGAAGGCCATCACACTGGAAGAGACGTTTGGCGCGGGTTCCGTCAGGCGCTTTGAGCCCGCAAAAATGCCCAAAGAAGACCAAGCGCGGAAACAGCTCCCTGTGCCGCGGGACCAGCTGATGCAATTGCACAGCGGCCCCAGACGCCCCCCCCCCCCCCCCCCCCCCCCCCCCCCCGCCAGAACAAGTCCATCGAGGGCGGTCGCCGGATAGGCGCCCGTCGAACAACTACACACCCCTCAATGACTCCGTGAAAAACGTCTACCACGTTCTGCGCCAGAAGGGTTACAAAATCAACTGGCCCGCACCTATGAAGACCCTCCCGTATATGCGGGACCCGAAGAAGCGCTGCGAATTCCACAGAGACACGGGCCACTGGACTGAAGACTGCAAGGAATTGCGCTACGAGTTCGAAGGCCTCATACAAAGAGGACTATTGAACGAGTTCATCCGCGGAGCGGAAGAACAGACAGAGCGTCCGATGAAACCTCCACCACCCCCGCAAGCTGACTACAACGACGGCTCAGGCTCGTATGTGATGCGAAAGGAAATTGGGGTAGTGACAATAGAGGGGGACCGCCCGAAGAAAAAAACCAAGCCCGATAGCGCAATAGAGTGTGCGGCGGCCGAGGTACCAACGAAGTGCAACCTGAGCTTCGACGACGCTGAATTCCCCCAGGGGGTCCCATCAGAAGACCCGCTCATCATCACCGCGCTCGTTGCCGCCTATAAAGTCCACCGCCTACTGATAGACGGAGGCAGCGCAA